AGACAAGGATCATCAGTACTTAAAACAACCATCATTCATCTTTACAAGAGTGATAAAATCAAAATTTTGAACATACAAATAAAGAGTCAGATAGTGTCAGACTATTGGAAGCAACCGGCAAGATGTCCTGGAAATTAGTTTATTGTCTACTGAAACTCGTCAGTAAGGTATATTTGCAGACTTAAAATAGGTAACGTTTCTTTAGGGCTGCATTCATAAAAGTAATTTTTTTTTTGATAAACATCAGAAATTCAGTCAGGACCTTCGATCGCCATACTATATTTTGAACTGATGCTTGTGCTTATATTCAGTTAAGTCTGAATCCAAAAGTACCACAAACTGCATTAACAAATAGCCAATTATGATGAAAATAAGGTTAAGTCACGTCAAATCATGCTGACAGTTACTTATATAATTGCTGTTAGCTTACTCAGTGATTCTTATCTGATGGTAGTACTACTTCTGTAAGTTTATCTCTTATATTTTATTTTCCTATTAAATGGATTTCATATAACAGTAACCTGAATGTACTTATTGAATAGTTTCACCTGCTATACGAAAAATTTGTAGTATCAAAACATTCTCACTTTTGTTGGTTTTCATGTTTATTATATCCTAATTTATTACTAATTACTTAATTATCTTTATTTTAATACTGCTTATTCACTGTATGTGTTTAACTGATTATGTGTATATAATTAAGTTGAACATTAAAAAAAATAAGCATAAATAATTTCCACTCCATTTTGTCACGTAAATTTAGAAACGTTACGAAAGCATTAAATCGCAGAGGGGTGATTTTTAAAAGTGAGCTAACAGTAAGATATTGAGAAGGAATAAGAGTGATATTAACGTCTGCAACAACGACAGCGACAACAGTGAGATGAAATCAGAGGGAAAAAAGCGAGCGAGAGAAAGGGGAGGTGACAAAGAAAGAAAATGTAGAATAGAACACATAATCAAGTTCTATCCGGCGTATATATTTTACTCACACCGTCTTTTTTCTATTTAGCGGAAGGCGTGTTCATAAGCATGCGAAAAAGAAATAAAATAGGTTCACTTTAAATTATTTGAAAATCCGTTTTCTTTTTTCTACCTTTTAAACCATATATTACTGAAATAGGATAAAAAGAGAGAAGAAGAGGAAGACGATGACGAAGGACAAAATAACAACAACTAAAGGAACAGTTTTGTATCTTCACTGGGTTTAATTTTCTTATGGTGTAGTTAAACATTGTAATGGCATTTTGTAAATGAATCGGTGTCTGCGTGTGTTGCCTTGGAAAATACAACTGGTATACACATCTGCTTTTTCTGCGTATAATTTTGAAAAGTACCTGAAATACCAGAATAAACACTTCACAGGAAAGAACGATGAAAAAAGTCATTTTCAAAATACCCTATTTTTTGTGAAAGAAGAAGGAAATTAATTGAAACTTTTGATTAATGCGTTTTTATTTTATTTTAGTTTTACTTGTAGAGAGGTGATATTGATTTGATCAACAGTTTTCGGTTGCCTGCGCTAATTGGAACTATGTATCAAAGAGGAGTGATTCGTATAAACAAGCCTAGCATATATATCTACGTGGTGGTTAAACCATTAGACAATCAACAAAAGTATGTGTGGAATTTACTGTCTTATTTTGCCAATGCCACATATAATCGAAAATCTTATGTATATTTTTCTTTTTTTCTGATTAAAATACACTAGAAATGAGTAGAGATGACAATTTGCAACAGAGTAGTCACTGAGCTAGTTCACTAGCACAATTTCACTACTTAGACAAGAAAAAAAAAGCGAAAAGAAATTTTTTTAATTTAGTGTGTTGTTAATTTATTACTATTCATCTATTAATAATAAAATCAAATTATTTTGTCTAGACAGTGTGTTTAAGTAGACTATCCTCTCTCCCTACTCAGACACATAATCTTGAATCCAATGTTAAACGAAAGTCATTAATCGACTATACTGGTTTTAAATTAATACATTAAGCTGTAAAATTGGTTTGCCTAGGTTAAGTTAGCACAGTCCATCTAACTATGGCTGTTTATAGTCGTATGTTCAAAATGAAGTGTACTCATGAATGATAACCCTAGTTCAAATATCCCCATTATGATAATTATAGAAAACGATTTAAACAAATACGTATTTTCGGCAAATGATTATCAGACCTTACATTTACATCATGAAACATCAGTCATAGGCATTTTAAATAAGGAAAAATTCACTCAAGTGTTTACATAAAACAGGTAATGGTAAGTATATAGGCAGAATGTGTATACTAGTAGGAGTAGAAGGGAAAATAGCTATTGTCACATAGTGATTAGATAATATACAAATAATAAATTGTGAAACTGAGATTAAAATGTACAACTACAGCATAGCATGATATTCATAATACAGTAAGCAGTACAGATAAAAATAAAACAATGAGATAATATTTACAGTTATCCGGTGTCACCAGAAGAGATAACTATTCTAGGTTAGTGGTAAAGGTCAAAGTGGGGGGAGAGATACTAAACAAATTTTTTTCCGAACACAGAAATTGGTTTGAAAATGTCTTAAGACAACTCCTTCAGCCATGCTTAGCAACCGAAGACAAACCAACCTAGAGAGTTAAGGTGGTACCATGTATAAAATCGTAAAAGTTGAATTTTTATCAATTTCGTGTTCCATATCCATCGATTAGGTGTGCCAGTATGGAACTGCTGATTGACTTTGTAACTCCTCTACTTAACCACGTTGGGCAATACTCCAGAAGGCAACAGTGGACTTGGAGAGTCGTCCTACCTATGTATCTATCTCCACATAAACAGTTAAATTTATGAATGTATATTTTACTAGCACGAAATGTCGTGGTACTGATAAGATTTCCTTTGTATAGGAGAGGAAAGAACGATATAAACTGGGTGTATTGGTGAACCCATGATTTCTTCCGGAAAATACTCCGCTTAATACTTCTATCTTGTCTTCTTGTTAGCAGGACATCAAGAAATGATAAGGTGTTGTCTTTCTCCTTTTCATATATTAAATCAATATGTAGGTGAGCTATACTGAATGTTTTAAGAAGGACCTAAACATCAATTTTATTATTATACAAGATAAAAGCATCGTCCATATATCCACAGTAGAACGAGAGTTCATTGATTACATTTTTAAGTGGACGATTCTATAATTTTGCCACAAGCAACCAGCTAAGAGAGGATCCGGAAGGGAGCCCATTGCTACACCCTCCATTTGCCGGTAGAATCCGTTGTTAAACTGAAAATGTACACTGATCGTACAACAAAGTAAGAGTTCCCGTAGCGTCTGAGGTGATACATCTACGTCCATACCATTTCTCACAAGAGATTCACAGATGAAATAGATGGTCTCTAATAAAGGAACGTTGGTAAACAGGAAAATGACATCCATTGAGATCATTTTTCATATTTGATCTTCTTATCTCTTACTTTTTCTATAAATTCGAAAGTGTCCTTCAAGCTGTACTTAGCCGCTTTTACCTGCAGTAGCTTAAGTGTGTTTGCTAGTCATCTTGCTAATCCATGATATAGTGAGTTACACACACCTAATGTTGGTTTCATCAGTACTCTGGGCTTATGAATTTTAGGTAGCCCACACACTCTAGGTATATTTGTTCCTAAAGGCTCTAGACGTTTGAGAATTTGGCGAAACAATATGTGACTGGATACCAGAGCTTTCAGTATCTTGGATAATTCCTTTTCTACTTAGTCTTATCATTTTCTACACACACACACCTAGTGGATATGGAGTACAATATTGATAAAAATTCAGCTTTCACAATTCTGTACAAGGTGCCACCTCTACTGACTAGGATGATACGTCTTCAGTTGCTATGCTATGTGCGTCGGTGGCACAGTGGTTAGGACTCTCGCAGACCATGCACATCGTCCGAGGTTCGATCCCCTGCCAACGCACACATGATATATATGGTCGGCCTGCTAAATTTGGGCTACTGATATCACATGCTGAAAATTCCATACTTGTACCGAAAATACAGTGTGGAATCATGCTGTAATAAAAAAAAATAAATAAATAAACACTTGAATGAATTTATCCTTGTTACCTATAAATTTACACTTCACATTATTTTAAATGCTTATGACTAGTATTTCATTATGTTAAATGTAAAGACTGATGAGGATATACTGCAAATACGTATTTGTTCAAATCGTGTTCTGTAACGATAACATTGCTTGATGAATACTTCAGAAATCAATATTTTAGATGCATATGTTGTAAATATAAAGAAAAATAATAATTAAAAATAGTTAAGTATACAGTTGTACCTGCATTCACAGGGGAAGGATAGAAATGATTAGTAGAAAAACTGCATTAGGGTATGTTAAGTACCGGTTTTATGTAAACTGTTAAGACTTTATATGTGAGATTTGCCTGGATTCAGCAAGATTCAAGACGATTTTTTAAAACAAAAGAACCATTCAAAACCAACAGTTATAAAGTGCTGTTATTCATAAAATTTTGATGAAACTTTGATCAAGAGAAATACAAAATTTTACCCAACTATTCAGCCTAATAATAATACAAATGGTTTTATTCTGTGAAAAATGTCTAAACAATGTACAGATTTCTTAGACTAACTGATCAGATAATTTTTTTCTTTTTATCTAGTATCTGTGGTATATCGTGTGACGCAGTGATGTTCGCTTTCAAGCACGAAATTATTCCCTCTTCTCTGAGATATGCCAACCGATATAGCTTGAAGGCCAATTAAAGATATTCGTGAGTACATTTCATGACTCAAGGACATTAATGAATGGTTAAAACAATAAGAATTAGAGATTATATTGTGTCGCATGGGAACTCAGATAGCCTACTGATTTCAGCAGGCTTCTGGATTAGAAATGAATACTATTACAGCCATCGTCAAATGGTTATACTTTTATTTAGTGGTAATAAGTATAGTGATATATGTATACATATAACAATGACACAGATTGTTTGCTAAACAGCTTACTTTAGTTCGAGATATGAAACAATGAACCGCTTGAAGGACATCGGCGGCATGCAGCGCTGTATGATATGGATTGTAATTGTGATAAACAGCTTCAGTAGCAGCTAAGCAGAAATTAAGTAACAAGAGACAACACAAAAGCGAGATATTAGTTCCTGGATTATATATATATATATATATATATATATATATATATATATATATATGAGTGATATAGAATGTAGACTGAAGAGTACATTCAGTTAAAAAGTATTTAAAGAACTGCCTGATTTCATAGAGCTTTTCGTCGTCAATAATGAATCTTAATGAAATAAAACCGAAAACCTAGCAGCAGTTGACAGCTGGTTTACTCGAGAAACACTTTTTTTCTTAATAAATATCTGTTAGCAATGATACTTAATCATGAAGAGAATGAGAAATAGATAAACATTCGAAAACAAGTGAGGTAATTCTTAGAATGATGTTTCCTTTAGTCGTCATACAACTTAAACCAGTTAAATTGTGAAATGAGACAACCAGTTAGCAGTTAAGTTTCTACAAATTACTTCGAATATGTTTCGTTGGTTTTTTCCGCTTCCTCTAAAGTTCTTTTCACCCAGGACATACTTTTTATTTGAATTTAAAAAAAAACTGGATGTTAGCTGTAAACTGATTAATCAGATGGAGTGACACCGTGGCGTTTAGATAAGCTTATAAAACGTCAAATGTTATGACTTGAATCTATTTCTGAATGAATTTCTCATCCTTACTTGCCACTATCATTCGTGTATATTTTGATTTCAAAAAATAAATGCCAAAAGCAATCTTTGCTTACACTAAAAATGTCTACATTTTCAGAACACATGACTTCATGTGAATGTCAGTTGAATTGTGTATACGCTTAAAAGAAATTTCCATGTTGCATAAAAGACTTAATTCCGTGTCATATGACACAGCAGTCAGTGTACTGTTTAGCCTTTTATTTCATCCACTAGTTAAAGCTTCAACAAAATTCTAGTTGTTCATTTTTCAGGTGGTTATTTATACCTATGATTGTCTACATATATATATATATATGTTTCGGCGTCGTACCATAAAAATCGGTTACTATGTTAATCACCAGGGTCAGTACAGCGAAATAAAAATCTACATTGACAGGTGAAGCACCTCATGAAACGACCCAGAAAAAATGTATACATCAACTTTGGTATTTACTATTTGGTAATTTAAATACAATGTGTTATTTGTTGTATTTTTGTGTTAACTAATATAACACTTGGAACTAAGAAAAAATCTTTCTTTTTGACACATAACTTTGCCTTCTGTATAACAGGACAAACAATAGCAACTTATAAAGAAAACGCTGGGAGGGAGGGGAGCAGAGAAAAGATGAAAAGTAAATCACATTCACTCTCATATTTAATTCTATGTATAATTTATTGTAAAAATAGAATTTGGACATTGTAGTAACGCCTATAGTTCTACAATAAAATAATTTCTTTAATATGAGAGTACTACACTATTACATAGTTTTCAGAAAGTATTAATCCAATTAGCACTTAATATGTTTTCATCTCAGTTATCCGGAACAGATTTTTCATGCACTGGATTACGGGCCACACGTTCAATATGTTAAGGCTAGTGATACTACGTAATTGTCCAGGTTGAAGTAAGTAGGGCGAGACTCGGACCCGAGACCCATTGGTTTTAAGTCGGGTGCTTAAACCAATGTGTATTTTGACGAATCGATAAGTTGTTGTTGAACTGAATCATTCAGTGTATTTGCGCAACACATTTCGAACAGTCTAATTACAGCAAATCAATCTTTATGATTTATTATGCAAATATGTAAACACTGATAGTTGTTTAGTTAAATGTGAAACGAAATAGTCCACTAAGTTTTATATACTATGATTGCTTAGAGAGTTAAAAATTCGCAGCAACATCTCAGTAAAGCAGTTAACTGTTTTGGTCATGATCACTGAAATATCTGTCAGAAGTATAAACTCACGTTAATATGTGGGCTTTGTTCTATAAAATTCTGCTAACCGACTTGTACTGGCATTCACTTATGAGTACCTCTACATTGATAATAGTTACTTTTGACGTTATGTTTTTACTTAACTTTTAAAAGTAGATGCCAGTATATTCTTTTGAAAATAAAACCCACAGATATCTTAGTTGAACTGCCAAAGGCTTATCTCTTGATAGAGGACAACTTGAACAGTCATATGTAAGTAATCTCTGGTAAATCACAAAATATGAATAATATCCATTTGCCTAGTCAAGAGAACTGTGCTAGGATTGACAATACTCACGTTTACACACATCGAACTAGTGAATGAAGAACAGACTGAAGCAGTTTGGCAAGTTTCTACTCATTATAAAACACAACATACGAACTATTAAGACTTTAATTCCTTTTCTGTTGAACTAAAATCATCCAAGTTGCTGTCAAGTGATAACAGTTACTAAGATCTCCTTTAAATGGACTTACTTTTGTGAATTAAAAGTATTAATCATTACTATATATATAAAATATATGACATTCCAGGCAATAATACATTACTCATCGTATAGATTTCAACCAAAATTAAACATGTATTCTTAAAGCAGAGGACTACATAGTGTTTACTAAAGGATGAGCAGTTGTAATGAGACTAGTGAGTCAGTCTTAGTCAAAGCTGATGGTACATGACGTGTGGATGAGTCATTCAAATGCAACAGGATTATTAGTGAACTAAAATATGGACACATATTTGAATAATCCAGCAATTTACTGTGCCCCATCAGCCTTTGTGCATTTTAACTAACATCAAGGCAATAGATGTTTGTCAAAGATTTTATGATTGGTATGAAAACTAGATTAGTAAAAGGTGACTTACAAATAAATTACAACTGCATAAACAATTGGTTCAATGCTTTTTAGAGCTATTTGCCATTCTCCTTTTTTCTCCAGTCGGTGATTATTTTCGTAACATATCTGAATTTATGCAGCTGTTGGTAAGTTGATAAATGCATTTCTAGATATTATTAATTAGTATAGATATACCATGCCTTAAATACATACTCTAACAACTTAGTTGACAAGCTGAATGAATTATTGAAAACATTTATTTCCCGATACGAATTTAAAACAAGCAATTAAACAAGCAATATTATTACTTTCGTGCATATGACCAATAACTTTCTGTTAAAATTATTTTCGTATAAGGAGGTCATCCAAAGAAGAAACAACTAACAACTTTATGAACCAGCAAATATGTGTACATCATATTTTGTATTACATTACCAAAAGTAAAAAGAATTATTATAAACTTCAATATCAGTTATCAGCATACTAACATTCATGTTTATATACACTAACAGATAATTACATTTAGAAGTATGCATACAAAGTGAACTTACTAAATATCCTAGCCATCATGAAATAATTTAATTTCAATTTTCGGAATAAGTCATATTCGTCCAAAATTTGTAAACCAATTTCACGAACTGTGTAATCTAGATGAAAGGGTTTTATGTCAAGAAACAGTTTTTGAATGCAATCGAAACTTGATACAGTGTTAACAAATAGTGCTATAATCAATATCTGAGACGTGATTGTAGATACTATTGATGGTGACAATCAATATAGAGGCATCGGTGGCGCAATGGTTAGGACTCTCGCCGACCATGCACATGGTCCGGGGTTCGATCCCCTACCGACGCACACTTGATATCTATGGTCGGCCTGCGAATTTTGGGCTACCGATATCCACGCTGAAAATTCCATACTTGTACCAAAAATACGGTGTGGAATCAAGCTGTAGTCAAAAAAATAAATCTAGTTAGCGTAACACTTACAGTCATAAATAAACTTGCTACTCATGGTATTAAACAATATTATAAGCAGTGTTCGCTTGCAGGGATTTCATTGGTTTTAACTTTTATTACGGAGCGATATCAGTTAGAGAACAATTAAAATCCAGGCAGTAGTGCAAGGTTGTTTCGTCCTTGTTTGAGACTCTTTAGAAATACACACCCATGACCCCACTGCGGATAAAACCCAGGATTGCAATATGAGTACACTAACCAGGCAGTCATTGATCGGAATCCAACGGCCCGTGAATTCTAACTTCTGTCATTTATCCATCTATAGCGCCACCCCCAGACAGTGTCATCGAAGAGTATTTGTCCTCACACTCAACCTGGTGGACTCCACTAGCTATGATTTCATAACAGACGACATTCTCCGGTAGTCAGTTACTAGTCAGCATTGTAAGTATTAATTCTGAAACTGTTATTTAATTCGAAAGGCTGCTTTTGCTATGAAAACGTTCGCTACTTCAGAGAACCACTGCAACATGTTATAAGTTTTCATACAAACTACATAGGCAATAAATAATACTTATCATACTTCTGACTGTACCTTAGACTTTGATTCCTATAAAGCTATTGCACTTGTAAAAAATAAAGACACCGCTAAATAATTTGAGATGTACATATGAATTAGATACTTCTATCGGTCAGTAAAAAGCAACTGATGATGACACTGCTATGTTTGGAAGTAGAAGTTTAAGAAAGTATCATTTACGCCAGATTTACGCGTAAACTAAGCTTACAACCGGAAACAAATACAAACAGTGATCTAAAATGTCTTTTAAGTATTTACCCTCATTCATTTTGCATCAAGCTGCGCTACGATGAAGAACCGAATGGCGTTGGTAAAATATGCTAAACACTTAGGACTAATGAGCTGCATTAAACTAGTTAAAACTCAATGACTGATTGGTGTAAAGAATGTAAATCTTTTACCGATTATACTGAATTGATTTTTCACGAATGAAGAATAACAACAAGGTAAATCTTTGATGATTAATATATAATCATAACAGTAGACTCCTAAGCACTCCAGTTTCACTGCACAACAAACAGTGAACTCATGTGTACACGACATCATCAGCTTACTCAATAAAAATAAAATCTGTGGACGTCAAAAACCGTAGCTTATTGGATTCGCGCATAGCGGCCGCATGCCTCCATTTGATCTTTCACAAGCTTACCACTAGACATCCAACTAAATTTAAATAGAAATTTAATGTCTCAGGATTTCGGGTGAATTTTTCTTTTTGCAGGAAGTCTATTTAGAACACAAAGAAATTCAGAATACTTAAAAAGAAGTTTTTAAAGAACTTACTGCAGCTTATTTTTCGAATATGAAAAATATTGAAATCCCAGCTGTTCAAATTTTTGAGCTGTAAATTAAAAATAAGCCAATATTTTTTAAAAGTTACATAATCAACATAAGGACCTTTCAGATATTTCAAAAAAAATAAATAAATACAATGTATTACTGCTTTTATCAATAGTAATTCACAAACAGGGTAAATATTTTCACACTGCAAACTAATGATTATTAAAATCACATTTATAGATTACGGTGTTGTTATGCTGTAAATATGTCTAGTCATCATTTGAAGGTTAATGAATAATTGTATTTTGTTGCTTTCTGGAAATTGAGTGAATGGCAGGTAGATTCAGTAGTCAACTCACAAAACAAAAGCAAATGTTTGAAATTTGAATTATTGCTTTATTCTATCTCAATTCTCTACAGTGGTGACTGAAAATATACATCAGCAGTTATTTTTAATCGAATTCTTATTTTGTCTGAGTGTTTCCAAGAGGATTGCATTTTAATCAAGTTATATATATATACATAAGGTGCGTTGGTGGCACAGCGGTTAGGATGCTCGCCGACCATGCAAGTGGTCCGGGGTTCGATCCCCGGTCGACGAACTCCTTTAACTCGCTACGCCAGAAATAATACTGGTAAAGAGGGAAGGTTGGGCATGAGGCTAGCAACCCCATTCTGTAAAATTAAACACTGCTACAGAAACTTCAAGCCACTAGCTTGAAGCCCTATGTTCCACTGGGGAACGTGAAGGAAAATATATATATATAAGTGTAAGTACCTTGATATGACTATGAGCATAATAATAATAAACTATGCTCGAAACGTCATCAGTTATTATTACTATATAACACTGTGGGACTTTATCAAAATAAAATTTTATTCATAATACAATTATACTCTACCACAGTGTCCAAGTTTTATCCTTATATCAGCTTTTCTAGTCATTAGTATTTTTCTCCTCATAGAATGTAGTAACTAATACACCAATCAATAGGCATAAATATTGAACATACATTACCTTTACATGTCCAGTAGGATAATCAATAAAACTAAGAAATATTTCATCCGTTCCACATTCAATTTTTGATAGTTTCTCTTTTTCTCCAGAACTGTTCCCGTTATTGACGATATTTGAACAATTATTATCTTCATATAAATAAAATAATTTTATTGATCCAGCCATTTGTTCAGTTTGTCGACAGCCGATTGCACTAAATGAATTCGACCGATAATGACGTTGTTTGCATGGTGAGTTTTTAAATTTTTGTAAACCTTTATAGAAGGACAGTAATAATGATAATAATAAAAATAATAATAACATTAATAATGACCACTGAAACAAAAGTTATGGTAGCTATAGCATCCAGGTTAGTGACGAATTTAAAATAGTACAGATGACAACCAACCTAATTTTCTATCCCTAGTTGTAGTGATCAAAATCTATTGATCTGAAATGAGACGGTGAAAATTCATGTTTGGACGTCAGTGATACTCGTGCATTCTGGAAGATGTTTTAATTGTGAAGTAAGCAACCTAAAGTGGTAGTCATTGAACAAGATTATGGGTGCACATGAATCAGAATTTACGTGAATATTCTGTGTAAGAAATAACACAAAGTAGAAAAATCCTGTGGACCAATGTGTTTTCATACGCAAATATACGAAATCCCCAAAAATCCTGTAACCGGAATATCAGTCGCCAGGTCACTGATGGCTACTATATGGAATTCCTGAAGCCGCAGTGGGAATTCAGGGGTCAACACATTCCAGCCGCGGTGGCAGAATGGTTCGCGAACTTGGTCTCTTAACTTGATAGTTCCTGGTTAGACACGTCGTGGGGTCGTGGGTACTCACTATTGAAGAATCTCAAAACAATACAAAATAGCTCTTCAGTGCTCCCCGGTTTTTAATGATCTGTCTAACTGATGACTAAAAATCCAACAATCTGAAATCCCCTCAAATCCTATAATCTGGATATCTGTTGGTGTTTCCACATAACACTGTGTTCAATACTGAAAGGCAATAAACAGGAAGCACTGACAGAAATAGATTCCATGAACAAGTTATATCTGTAACTATGACAGAAAATTCAGTGATTCGGGTAATGCAGTTACCGATCATTATGGCATAATGAGGCTCTTTGTGTTAATGCGTAGATAAATACACAGGCAAAGCCGCACAATCTTTACATCCGAACACCTACCATGTAATATGAAATAAATGGTGTTATATCAGTGTAAATCTAACATATAAACTTCTAACAACCATCAGATATTATCATCAGGTGACTGGTTTTAGTTCCATACTTAGTTATGTGCTACTATATTACTACCAGTGATCAAAATTCCAGCAATTACTCTACTACCAGGCAGCTAATAATAAAGTGATTTCAGGATTTCATCATGAATAAAGTGATTTATTCTACAATAAACAAAGTTTCATCGACATTATGGTAAAAACTTATTTGTTAGACCAGTTTTCTTTTTCTTTATATATTCAATGTAATCATATGTTTGGGGAGGTGGAAATTGAGTAATACAACCAACTGTTGTGTATTAAAAAATGAGTTTATTTGTCAGTACATGATATTATTCTTCCGAGAAAAAAAACAACTATAAATATGTATTATCGCTTCATTTACACGTAGAACAGTAGTTCTTTTCTATTTTAGCCTGAAGCTAGATAAAGTTAGTAAGTATTACGTCATATAAGATTGTAAAGTCTCCCCCATAGAATTATACCTCTACAAACTTATTTTGAAGCTATGAGAAGTTCTTGTTTAAATGAAGGTTTATAAACTCCTACACTGAATCACATGTCGAACATGAAGATTTTGTAATGTTATCATAGTGACTGTATAAGGTTTGATTGAAGTTATTTCAATTAAAGTGAAGTCATCTTCATAATGAGATTAGAATTTATGAAACGTTTTTTTCAATTTGGTGACAGCTAAAAATTAGTTAAATTGGATTTCTCCCGCAACTTCGCCTAGTTTACTAGTCCACTAGCCGGTAACAAGCTCCTTAAAAGAGGGGTGTATGGGTATAGGGCTTGCTACCCCACCTCTAAAAATTAAACCAGTCGTTACAGAAAATTCAAAAATGAACTTATTCTTCGCTGCAATCAGAGTTCTACAGTGGAAATTCTGTTAAATTCAGTTAAACTAAATAGAGGTTACGGTAAGATTACAGATATGATCAGAAGTTTTCACTTCATGTAAGTCTGTCAAGAAACAAACGACACCCTTAAATTGTTTAGTCATCAAGTTAAGTAGTCCATTTTGCTGCTGAAGATAATAAATTTCTCTTAAAGACGCGATAAATAGAATCCTGATAGTTATCTTTTTTCCTCTGATTAAGAGTCGACTTGCAAATCAGTTATTAGCTTTGAAGTTTGAATACACATTAATTTATTGAAAACGTATTTAGCGAATTGCATAAATCTTTAGACTGTCCAATTATCTATTCTACATAGTATATAAATTCTAGAACATAGGCATTCTTATCGACGTCCAACAATCGTTATATTTCTTGACCTAAAGGCTGCATTCAGTTCTGTCGGCCAAGAGGTACTCTGGCGATGCTTGGCTGTAAAGGGAATGCCGAGAAAATGCACGTGCAATGATTGATGCACTCTACTTGAACTCACGCAACAAGGTGTGAGCCTACGGAGAGTTGTCATGACAAATTGAGTAGTACTGAGTTTAGGCGTCGAGTGCTATGTAAGGAGGGGAAATCGATCGACTAGGTTGTGAAGTTACATCGACCTAAATGGTTAGAACATGTATTATGCATGTCTAGCTGTCACCTTCCTCGGTGGGCAATGTTAGCTGACATAGGATCAGGTTGGGAAAGAGCTAGTGATGGTCAAACCAAAACATGGTATCAGTCAATGAAATCCGCAACAGTTACTATGAGCCAGCCACGTAAGGAGGTGTAGACTTCCTGGTTGGGGTACCCAGGATGGTGAAAACAAATGGAGGCTGGAGACAATTGGTGATATGGCTCAAAATCGTTCTCAATGACACAGATGCATTCACTCTTTGTGATGATTTGTCATATCCAATAAAACAATATTGTTCATACATATTACTATTTTTTGTCCCACATTCCTGTTTATTATCTCTCTTTGCTCTCCTCTCTTGCTTTGTGTGCTACAAGGAGTGTGGCAACTCGAATTACAGCATATCTGTGCAAAGTTCTATTTTGAAACCAGTCAGTCAGTCAATAGGTGATTTCTGAAAACAAACAAAAATCTCGGTGTCCCTTCTGCAGTTAGATACTTGATACAGATAATAGTCAAACTGGTAAACATTTCTCGTTATGAGAAAACTTCGCAAACCGTGTATGTTTAAGAAATGTTTTCATATTCAAAGCTCGTAAGAAAATATTCAAGTGTTCAAAGTTTTACTTTTTCAGGTAAGAAAACTTTAACCGTAAAGTCGGATGCAAAATACACGTTATTTAGATAAAATGTTAGAGGGAGAAAAGAGAACTTAAAGAGGAATGATAAATTAACCATGAAAACGCAAATCAATAATCATCTCCATCACTCCTATCATACAAATCTCTTCAAGATACTATTATTATTCATTTGAATTATTACTGCATTTTTAAAAAACCTTGTTAGGGGGATGTGTATATTAAATGTAGAGTAATCCATACAATAAAAATTATATTGCTGAGAATATAGCTATTGATAATATTTGAAAACACCTTAGATACAACGAGTTTAAAGCATAAATTGCGGGTAGACAGGAATTCGATGTTTTTGACAACGTCAATTAAACTGAAATTATTTTGATTGGACACTATGAATTAGTGTGATGTGTCTAGTCCTTTCTTTGCTACAGACTAAATTCTGTCAGTCAGGTTTGCAATGTGGCCACCATTCTAGGTTGCTCGTCGTCACGATGCACATTGATTCGATGATATTAGATGGTTGGGGGAAAGCGACAGGAAGCCTTGGACCTAGGTTTCGTGCTAGTTCACACTCGTCAGCAAGGCGTCTCTGACTGTAGCACTGGGTGACGTGGGTTCGAATCTCAGAAGGGACATGAGTCCCTTCAAGGCTGTAGATACTCCCTCCTGACGAGTGCCAACTAGCACGAAACCTACGTCCAAGGCTTCCCGCCGATTGCCTCCAGTCATCTAATATAAACTGAAATGTTCTGCACACGCCCAATTATTACGGTAAGAGATCCAACAAACAAAACAGGGTATAAAAACTCATACTATCACGACTAACAGTGGCTTGAATAAGTTTAATAAATTTAACAATAATAAGATAATAATAACAAGTTAATAAATTTTTATTATTTCAAAGCCTGTAATAGTGAAATATTATGAATTAATAGCTGGTCTGAATGCAGAATAGCGCTTTGAATACATTCTCTTCAGGTTCTTACAATTACAAAATGAAAACTTTTGTTATTATTATAATAGTCAGATATGCAATGAATACATTTTGAACGTAGATTAAGATGATGGATTTAAATTCATACAGGTTTTAAGCGGGAATAACGTAGAACAAACCGGCTGTCTGCATTCAGAAAGAACTCATTGTTCTTCTCTTGGCTATCCTCAGACTAAACACTATCCTCCAATCTATATGATCTCCTTCTTTCCTTTTTGTCTAGACAATATTTATCACGTTTCATATTTTTTTATTGTACATTCAAACAACTTTAGAACAATTCGTGGAATTTTTTCAGACATATTGACTGACATCAACAAGCTATTCCAACTAACTATCAGTGGGATAATTCTCCTACATATGACTCTGCTTCGTTTAATTTACGTATCGATTATTTTACAGGGAACTTGTCACTGTAGTTTTACCATATTCTGCTAAACGCATGCTCTACTAGTAACAGCTTTTCAATAAACACATTCCACAAACCTTGAAATAAATTAGCGATTTTCCTCACCTATGTTGTATGAATTTACTGTGACTAATCAACATAATCCATTTCACACTGTTTTGTAATTGTATCCAAACATCAACACACCTGTCACGCAAATACTGTTTATCTTGTTACTTTCCAACTAGAAACTTATCAACCCATAATCATATTCCAAGCTTAGAAAATTTATTCACCACATAACTGGTTATTATCGTAATGGTAAAAAATTTCATTTTACGACTGTACAAACCTGAAAAGACTTTATTCGAAACAACAGTCTTCATTCAGGCTAAATTCGTAACAAATTTACTTATCTGCAAATAACTAGTTTTAGAATTTTCGATGGATCCCCCCATCAAAAGCTATTT